TTTCTTTCTGCCCTCAGAATCTATTCATTTTTGTAGAAATAAAATTGTATTAGCACTTGCTTTCTTAGGTCATGAATTTTTCAGCATTATGTAAAAAAAACTAAGGCTGGTAAAATACTTTTTAAAAGTAATTTTAAGAAGTATGTATGCAGATGTTGCATCTGAGAATATTTCTATACTGCTTAGTTTGTCAAATTTTAAGCTATTTTCTGTTAAATTAAATATGTTCATTGAGGAAACACATGTAGAAATTGTGAAAAAAATACACTGAAATACAGTAACCATAATTACTAATACAGACACTGTGACCAATCCATCTCAGAACTCTTATTCAAACTCACTTTCTGGAGAGTTTAACTCCTGGGAGACAGAGCACATGCAAAGATTATGGCAAAGGGTATACCTGGGATATCAGTCCTGAGCTAGATTGACAGTCTTTGAGCAGGGAGTGTGCTCATGATGTATTGCAAAAACACTCAAAAGTTTTTTCTCTCCTTCGATACTATATACTATATACTATATACTATATACTATATATTCTTCTAATGAAAGAATAACTGAAAGCTTCAATTCTGCACACACAGGCATCCAGTACTTTTACCACACACAGAGCTACTATTTCGTTAGGAGTACACATGCAAATTACATTATCTACAACGCTCAAATATAGGAGAAGGGAAAACTATTTACCTATGCACAGGAAAGAATGCTACATGACTAGACCACTATGAATACACTTAAGTTATTTCCTTAAAATCCTTGGTTACAAAAATAGTAAATAGCTACGATGTTTTCATATTCATTGCATTCCTTTAAATTGCAGTTATAAACCTGTTTTTTCAGGTAAACATCAGCTGATTTTTACTCCCATGCTTTTACTAGTTTTCATATAAGACACAGCTTCAGGGTGGAAATATACTTACACAGATTCAGTATCTTTTTCTTTTTTCATTATTCCTGATAAACCAAAAGGTTTCCTCTTCCGTGGTTTTATTCCTACAGAACAAACACTTTTCATTTAAAGATCAAGGAGATAAATACATGTTTAGTAACGTCAAACATTGGCATATGAATGCCAGTGTTTTAAATGATGCCTCAGTTGTTATAAAAATTTAACAGTGGAGACAGGTATGGAGCCAAACTAAGGGAACATTGTTACAATTTGTTTTAATTAACATACCAATCAAAAAATAAAATCTAAATATAGTTCACATTAATAACCTAGGTTCCTATAAAACTGATTTGCATCTCCAAGTTGGGTACGCAGACTGCGGTTTTTTGATTGACAAGAGGTGCATTGGTAGTTTTGAGGAACAGGACTCTGCTCAAAGAAACTCAACAGGAGCTATTGGTCCAGGCAATCCTGAATAGCCAATGAACTTGGACAGAAACAGAACGTTGCCCTCCCCAGCTACTGCAGTTCAACACCCTGTTGTTATTTCCCTGCATGTTCCCAGCAGCTGCAAGACCCTGTCTTTCCTCAAAAGTAGGATCTTGGTCCTTATAAAAAGGAGATTGTCTCTTGGAATTGCCACCTGACGCTGAGCTCATGATTTCCCAGTGCTGTAGCCAGCTCTAAGACTGGTTCTCACTGAGTCTGGAATCATGGTTCCCCTCTGTTATTTCTTTCCTGCTTTTAGCACTGGATACATACAGCTATAGTACTGAAAAAAGTTTGCTTTCATTCCCATTTAATGTACTAAAATTAAAATACATTTAAATATTCCATCAAACTTACTGTCACATCTGCTTCTCACAGTGTTTGCTTAAGCAAAGTAAACTGCCAAACAAAATGACTACGTGCAAGCATCTGATCCAACTATAGTCTATAATTTTGTTTCAATGTATGATACTACTGAGAGCATGCTTTTGAGCAGAATGGTGGAAATAATTTGGTTTCCAAAATTTAAAAACTGACAATTCAATCACTTTATTATATTCCCCTTTATAGTAATACATTACACAGTACGTAAGTGCAATCTCTCCCCTCTTTTAAATTTTCAGGGTTCAATAACTCAAAACTTCTCAAATAAGTTAGCTGTGGAGTCAGTCATATATACAGAGGCACATCAGTTGCTCCAAGATTATTTTTAAATGTCCAGGCTTTATTTTATTTTCTTTCTGTGCCTTATGCAGCCCAAAACAACGGCAAACAAAGTATGAGAGTAATTTCTGAATACAGATGCTCTCTGCTTCAGTCAGGAGATTTTAAGACTCAGCTGCAACTTTGGCAACTTAAAAGTTTTTATATGCTACAGTTATACTGTCAGCTCCTCTGTCCCACAAGTAAATACATAGCTTATGGACATAAAGCAGTTCTTAATCACTTAAAACAATCCCCTAAGCAAAATAAGCTATGGCAACAAAGAAAGACTTTGCAACCATAACACTACATTAGACTTGGTATAACTAACATGGTAACAATGGGAAGAGCCTGGGCCATGTTTTGACACTTGTAAATTAAGTTACAACACAGTCATAAGTGAATTAAATCCAAACCTCTGCAAAGACAGAACAAATATATTTGATATAAACACTCAAATTCTCTGACATTTGTGCATTAGTGTTATTGTCACTGAATTTTGTTTCCCAGAAGGAAAACTGCTTTTCAGACTACTGGAGAACTTCAAAGTTATACAGATTCACACACTGAGTACCCTTTGCTGCATAGGATTCTCATGTAAATAACTATGCTATGGCAACTCACCTTCAACTACACTGGATGTGTTGCATTCTTCGAATTCAACGGGGCCTTAAAGAAATGACAATGAAGATAAACATTAGGTCAAATTTAATCTATTTTAATGACTATTAATATTTCCTGAAAATCTCGAGATAATCTAATTAAAAATTTAGGTGGCAACTGAAAAGCACAATTACCATGCCAGTGGCCAAAGAGACTACAAAATCATACATTTAAAGCGATATTTTGACTCTTTCACATTGAAAAATTGAAATACTAGTACCCATCATCTAAATACAATTCAATTACCTATGCTGTTAGAACCACATGAAACATCTAACTGGTGTCCTCTTCTCATTCAAAATTGCATCTATAATACAGTATTAGTGTAAGGTTTTACATTTATCCTCTTTTAATGAACAAGAGTTGTATAAAGAAAAAAAAAAGGAGAAAAGCACAGCCATAGCCCTAATTTTGAGATTCACACTTTTGCTAACTCTGCATTGCTAGTTCTAGTGTTTCCTCTCCACAGCCAATTACCTACACAGTTAAAAGTGGCATGTGGAACCTAAAACACAGCAATAAAGGAGATAAACTTTAAAAAAAATAATCATTAAGTCTCAACAGGACCAAAAAAAAAGCAGCGAACACTAGTTAATTTCTGTATCTAAACAAATTCATTAAATTACAGTTGACACAAGGTGACAGTCAGCTGCAATTGCAAAGTGATGTCCTAACCCTCATTAATTCAGTTTGGTCATTTCTAGAATTTATTAGAGTCACTTTAAGGAGAAAACGTGCAGAAAAAGCCTGAATTTCCATAGGACCTTGTTCAGGAAATGGCAGAATCATACCACTTCTGGAAGTGCAAAAAAACCCAGAGAGCTCATGGAGGCAAGTATCTTTTCTTCCACCCATGTTGGAGTACTTTGCAGCTGTACCCATAGAAGAAAAAGTTTAGCATGCTAGTACTGTGCCACAGGGGTTATTACTTACCTTTCTGTAATCATTTTGAGGGCGTGCACACAAGTTTATATACAGACATATTACAGATAAGGCAGAGGGGAAAAACCAGTTCCAATGACTTTTTTCTTTAATTAAGGCAGGCTCAAAGTATTGACTTGTATTTATTGTAATTAAGACTACATCTGCAAAAATATCCCAGTCAGTAAAAGGAGACCTGTAAAAAGAGTGCTTGTAAAACTAGCAGCAGGATGAGAATCTGGGACTAGAACCTATCAATAGCCCATTTATCAAAATAAAATTGTTTGGCCTCCAAATGATGCTCTTGAAAGAAGAATATGAAAAGACAAATCTCAAATGGCACTCTCAACAGCCCTTTAAATTTCAATTATTAAATAATTTCAAATGCAAGATTAATTATTCAATATAACAAGACAAGATGCAAATTCCTAACAGCTCTCTCAGTCTCTTACACATTGTAAATACACGGGCATTTTAAGCTGGTTTTCCAATCCCTTCTCCTTTGCTCTCCACTAAATTCACAGTAAACCCAAATCACCATGCTCCAAAAATCAGCAAACTTGGGTATCTTGCAAAACAAAACACAGAAAAAAAAAATCCAGAAAAACAGTTTTAGAGAACTGTACATGTCTACATCTCGATACTGATTTCATCAACATTTTATTTGGTGAATTTAAACTCTATTGTTCAACAGATACTAAGCAAGAAATTCAGAAAAATGCCATGAAATATAGAAGCCGAAGAACAAATCCATTACTTCTTCAGCACTACATTTCACATAGCACATTTTTCATCACTTTGCAAATGATTCAGCTACTTCTGTTTCTTGCTTCTATATATATTCCCATTTGGCTGGAAAAAGAAAAAAAAAAAGCCAAACCAACCACAAACACTCACGCCCAAAACAAAAGGAACAAAACCTGTAAACAACTGAGACTTAAACATATTTTTAGAGCAATAAACTACTCAAGCTTTTTCAGAACTCCATCGTTTTCTTTACCCTTTCCAGCTACTAAGACTGATCCCCAGACTATTAAGACCTTTACACTAATGATTAAAATAAATATTGAAGGCTCGTGTAATAGCTCATCCTTATTTCAGATCAGTATCTTTAACTTTCACTTCTAAAATAAGCAGAAAGTAAAGAATTTCTTTAACAACACATCCAACTTCCTCTGTTTTGCCCATTACACTTGCCTAAAACACTTGCTTCTGAACATGGGTTTTTTACAGCTTGATAAACTTTAATTTGAATACACATTCATCCTTAGTACAGAAACACAAAGATATCACATGAATCAGTTAAAATTCAAAAACATCTTTTGATCCTAACTTACTTTTCCTACTTAACTCAAATTTACATAGGGACCTTCTTGCTTTGGAATCCCAGAAGTTCATGCCAGTGGCTCTCTCTAATTAATCCCCAAACAAAATCCACAAAAAATTAAGTTCAGCATTTTCCTCCAATGTCCAAAGCTGGTTTTGTAAAGTTTGTATTTAATACATCCCCACCAACATAACACGTTGTATTATTTGCTTACATCAAAGGCAAATTAATACAGTTTGCCTGTTGAATGGAGCAGAGCAGAGTGAAATTTTTCACAGTTTTTAATTTTAAGAGTTTTTTTCTGTACCTTCAGACCTCCCAACAGTTCTGCTTCCTATATGCCTGCCATAAAGAGTACCATGTTTTGCCTTTGGTGTAGTATTTTTAAATCAAAATAACATTACAGAAATAGACATTTTATGTGGCACTCTATAGTGAACCAATTCAGAAAACAGGGCAGCTGTGAGGAGCTTTCACTAGCCTTCATAACACCTGGAGAGTCCTGTGGACAGATGTCTTTGTGTCCAAAGAGGTAATAATACTGTACGCCCAGCCAGAATTGTGTGTTGTGACCACACTGTCCTCTGCTAGAACCAGTTGCAGTCTCCTAGCCAGCCAAGAGGCCCTAGGCATACATACTACTATGGGAGCATAGCACCAATAAGGAATTCAGATGGTTTCTTAAGAAGTTCTCTCTGCCTTGCCCACTGTCCTTGTGGATACAGAAATAAAAGCATCTGCACTAGCACTGAAAAAATTCCAAACAAACAACTCAACTCAGAAAGCTTTCTTCTCTGAAGCACCACAACATCTATCTTTCTGATTCTTAATCATTAGCTGCTACACTTAAAAATTACCAGTGGGCTGGTATTAACTTCGGATGCAAGTAAACAGATTCCCTGTCCATTGCAACATCTAAAGAAAGAAAAGCAGTTGCTTCAAACACTTCAGAAGTAGAGCTGAAGTTGAGGACTTATCAAAGTCCATGCCACGTGGTAGCCCAAGGCACCGAAAGGACTATCTAGATGTTGCCATACTGCAATGCAGGTGATAATGCTGACACTACTGTTATTCAGCAGTATTGCAGGCAAAGCATTGAAATTTCCTTTGCTCTTTTCCTCATAACAAGAAAACAATGTGAATTGAGAAAGAAGACTGTTCTCAAGCACTCATATGAACTCAAAAGCAAATATTAAAACTAAAGCAGTACTGTAAAAATCAAAAAGACATTTGAAGACTCTCATCAGAGTAAGTAAAATGTTATAGTGGAGATCTAGTCCAGTCCTTGCAAAAGTCTCTGATTTAACCTTCTGTTGCATGGATAATTCCAGGCTCAAGACAACTTTTAAAGTCTGGCCTGTTGTTACATTGATCTATTACATTATTGGTAACTACAGCTTAAACATCTCAAATACCTCTACATAGACTCGCATGTATTTGATACTGTAGAACAGAAAAAAAAGAATAAATAAGGTGCATAAATGAAAGTTAGCCTTTAAAATAGAAAGAGATCCGAGTATCTAGTGGGATTTCAGTTGCTTAAGAATACATACCTAGCTATCAGGATGCTAATGAAAATTTAGTATTTTGCAAAGGGAGCAGGCATCAAAAATTAGTAAGCTCCTCTAACTGTATGTAAACATTCCCACCAAGCATCACCCTAAAGCATTTTGCAAGGCAAGCTGCACTGAGTTTTTGAATGCCACAGCGTTCTACCAGCTGGGACAAATAAGGACAGGAAGAAAAGGCAAATGGATGGTGGTTTCACAAATACATAAGGCAGACAGCTGCTATTTGACAAGAGACTGAAGCAAATACATCAGGACTGGGTCAGTCCTTAGGCTTTTGAAAATAAGGAAGCTTTGGTTCAGGAACAGAAAAGGGAAAAGGTAATTTGAATAAATGGAAAATTTTCATTTTAGTTAATCCCATAACTTACAATAAGTGACACCGGCATAAATAAAGCACCAGTAAGTCTGCAGCTCGGGATGCATCTCCTAGACTGTTATGTTATAGTAACTATATGTACTGTTTCTCTTGTTACAAGTGGCACATGATATGTGGGCATTCATGCCACTAAAGGCAAAGTATATGGCTAGCAATAAGGAGATACTGGTCTTATTGAAAGACAAATGGAGAAAATGTAATTGCACTGTAAATTATATTACCGTATCTCCTCCATATTTAGTCCACATCTATGGGAACAGTATTTTCAGAGTATACACAAGGCAACTACAGACACTACTATTTAATGCCTTCTTCTTAATTTATCTACAGTGACACTAATTATCTTGAGGACAGTCAAAAAACAGTTATAAAACCTCTCTCTGTAAAATCTAGATAAAGGTTTTCCAGCCTATTTGTAATACTCTCATACAAAACCTGTGTGAGAGAGACACTGGTTTAATGTTTTGCTCAGGTCAAAACAATAAAATAATTTGCACTTTCCTCAACAGAGAGGAAAAAAAGGTTTTACTGTTTGGATTCTTAAATAAACAAGTCAAATACAAAAGTCAATTACTATTACTAGGAAGAAAAACATAATATTATGTCATACCCTGAAAAAGTGCCCCCAGTAAGTATATCAATGAACTGGAAAATCCTGCAGAGCTAAAAAGGTAAACAAATCAAGAAGTCAACAAATCAAATAAAAACTGCTTTACATTTGCATCTGTTTTTGAAAATGGTCTCCTTTCTGTTTTTTGGGATATATGCATGACAGAAAGAAACATTATCCCACCAAAGCTTATATTGGTATTAACTGCATTTAATTTTCAGTAACTGCAAGCATTCAGACACTCAACCCCCCCTCCAAAACTGCCCTTCCCTGCAACCTGAGGAATCAGTTTACACACATGCATGCACACATATAAACATTAACATATCTGTTTCAAGCAAAAGCTTTAAAAAGCACTCTCTAAATCTGTACCTGTAGTCACATTTACAATAAAAAAACATATTCTTGCTTTTGATAAAAAACACAAGTTTGTCTCCGAGTGTAAGTCATGCATGAAAGCAGGATAATTTTTTTTTAAACTGCATATGCTTCGCATGCTGCTTCAAATGGCAAAGCTTTGCGTGCCTGGCTCAGTGCCAATTGACAGCTCAGCTGGATATCAATGCACATTCTGACCCCCCTTGCAGCGTGTCACTTCTGAATTGTTTCCGCAGTAGAAAGTTTATTCAACCTCTCTCTCAAATTCAGTGGACCGACCATCATTCTGCTATTTAATCATAGCAGAACAGGTTATTTTTCTGACAGCACTAAAGCCAGACAGCAATTCCTAATGAACAGCTTGATACAAGTGGAATTTCGACTGTTTTAGCCTCAATTAATTCTGCTGTCAAAACAAATGACTGCTTTTAGTGTTTAGATGTCAAGCTGCATCACAAAGGTCAATTTTGTAGGTACACAAACATATAAACAATCTTTTTCTTGCTATCATCTGATCCTGTGACATGTTTAGCAAAAAATTTCAAGCTTTCAAATTTAGAAGCCAGGAAGCCAAAATATATTGTCTCAATATCCCTGCTTCTAATACTAACTTCAATTTTTATTGCCTGTCCAAACATGAGAAGTAATTTTATAAAATGGCAAAGAGAATTTTATTTTTTCCCAGGAAAAGGACTTCTTATTTTACATATAAAAAAGAAGAAACAAAACCAAATTCAAGCATATCTTATTTGTAGGAATGCAGACTAAAGATGAATGGCTATTATCTTTGAGGTAAATAACATATATGTGATATATCTACCATGTTAGTACCAGACTGCCACAAGCAAATGTTAGTTTATGGATTTGGTCACCTCTTTACAAAAAGAGGATAAGGGACAGAAAATAAAACTGGCCTGTTAACCTGTCAGTCTGAGGGAAAACATTGAAATAATATTGGTAAAACCATCTAATTTTGTAAATACAGATCCACTACAACAACAAATTTTCAACTACTCTTCTTTACATCCTCAGGACTATATATCAACCTAGCTGCTATATAGCCTCTAGAGATGCTGAAGGTTTGACCAAATCCTTCTTTTTTTAAAAAAAAATCACGTTGAAAAGACAAAATTATAGCATGGTAATAGTATTCATACATATATATATATATATTAAAAAAAGAAAAGGCAGAGGTGATAGTGGCATCAGAAATAACAACTATTATCACTATCAACACAAGTAGCACTTCCATGGAGCATCTACTAAACAAGCAATCAATTCTAACCCTGATTCTGTTACTAGGCTTCCAGCCCTGCACCCAGTTCACTGAACCAAAGGAAACATTATTCGTCTCAGGCTTTTCTCGTACTCTGGGTACAAGCTCTGTGAATACAGCAAGTACACTGTACTCAAGAGAGAGTATTTCTATGTGGCTTACAGAGTAAAAACAAAGCAAGAAAGGATCATAATCTGAGTACCCCTAAAATAATTATTATCAATCAAGATGTTTTTCAACAGTGAGGAGAGACCAGATTTTTTTTCTCGGAAATAAAAAGGTGGCAAACGTAAATTACAAAATATTTTTATTGCTCTGATAACACAAGAATTTTCAAGAGACAGGAAGCATGTACCAAATGCAACGGTTCAAGTTAGAGGTCCAACTAGGCTGCAACACTGGACATTTCAGCTATGATCTGTGAAAGCATGAAGTCTGTGAGCAGCAAAATAATGTCAGCTAATACACCAATCTACAGACTGTTACACTTCCAGTCCCTTTCCTTATCCTCTTCTACTCTTGCTTTTTCTTCAACTTCATATTTCTTTTCTGACTGCATAAAAAACAGGATGTGAAATATGGCTGGTTTTAACTATTCACAAACTAAGTGGTTGGTCAACATACACAATACATACAAACACACACTAAGCTGTCTGCTGGCTCTCCAAACGAGTCGCTTACAACTCTTAACTGGCTTTCCCTATTATGATATTACTAGTTTGGGTCCTTTTTCTCTCTAGCAAACTCCTCATTACAATTTCTTTGAAACTTCTACTTTTCCATCAAATTGGGTTGAAAGTAGCAAAATCTTTTGAAAATTATGGGGGGTGTTTGGAAAAAATACTAAGAAGAGCAGAATTGCATAATTCTAGTCTACAAATATAAGTATCTGTAACAAACGGCCCTGCCTGACTGCATGGTGCATGATTCAGCTGCTGAAGGCAGACCATGCAAGTATGCAGTGATGAAAGAAATGCACAGACACATTCAAGTACTTTTCAGCTACGATTTTGAACATTAGACATTGTAAATATGTTAAAGTTATAGCCTACATCTTTAAAGACCACTGCAGAGAAGCATGTCTTTTGTAACAGTCACACATTCTCCCCGTAAACTAAGAGGGTACGTTTTCTTACTGAAGTTCTGAACTTAAACTCATGAAATTGTCAGATCTTAATATGTTTAATGTGACCCTAAAGAGCAAAAACAGGCTAGTGTATTTTATAGTATTCAGAATTTTTCAGATAGAAAAATCTTTTTTCATTTGGTAAAAAAAAGAACATTTCCTATCTTAAAAGAAAAATAAATAAGTTAATAATAAATAAGTTAATAATTGCAAACCTCTCCCTAAATATTAATTGCATACAATGTTATGTTACTTTATGTAACCAAAGTACAGGCCTTATTTACTTCACTAGCATCTCAGTATGTTATTTCTATTTTCAGGTGTTTTAAAACTCTTCAATATGTTTTTATCACAGTAGAATCTATCCTGCATACTATTTTCTGATGACTACCACCTAATTAATATATTCTTCCTACTTAAGTTACTGAAATGGACATTGCTTTGCTCCTGCAGTCCCATAGAACTATTAGTGTCAGGTTGCAACTGATTTGTTTGTTTGTAGGAAGAAAATTCAAGTGGATCCAAAAGTACTTCATCTTACTGAGTGTTTCAGATCATTGAAAGGCTACCTTTTGCTCTGTTGTATCTACAGATGTTGTCTAAGATATTTTTATCAATGCTACTAGCCTTCCACTTGCATTAAGAGACTTTTCAATAAAACTTGTACATTTATAGCTGTCCAGACCACCACCATCATTTAAAAATCAATAAATCGCAATCTAAAACAAGTTTGCAACTTAGATATATGTGATTATTAAAAATCTATTCTGGCAGATGAGACTTCCTAAAGTCCACAGAAGTTTTAGCAGGTTTGTTGGTTAGGAAGGGACCCAATTTTTGCAAGCAAAAAAAAAAATGACATTGAGGACAGAAATTAAGATCCATTTGTTGGTACAGCTTTTAAGCTTGCAGCTCCTCATTGAAAACACCTCTACAGCACAGGACCCTTAAAGACTCTTTTATCTACCTTAAGCCCAGGTTCTCATAAAAATTCTCAAAGATACCCACATCTAATTTCTTCCATTAACTTCTGAAATACAGCAATGCTATGCCTTCCTTTACAAAGACTACTGTCCTGAATCCCTTAGATACTATCAGTGTTGATAAACTAAGTTCATTCCTCAGTCAGCCTTCTGTGTAGAATTAGGTGTGGACACAGGCTTTGAGAAATTGTGCTAGCACTTCAGGCTATTTGGCATCTAATCACAAGTGTCAGCAGCACTAAAATATTCACAATATTTACAGAAAATATAAAGAAAATCATTTATAACAACATAAAATAAATACTTGCTTTGTCACACTTCCTTGTGGAAAAGAAGCTCAAAGACATCCTGCAGAGGTGTTCAAAAGTCATTATTAATGATTTTCAGTGTTTATTTCCATATATTTGTTGCTGTTTAGTGTCTTAGTAAAGTATTTTTATAAGTGCTATAAACTACTATGTTATGAAACAAACCCATGGAAAAAATAAATGCCACACCTAGCACTGTTTCAAGTCTGTCTTGCAAAGTGGAGTTCATTATTCAAGCACATAAAAAGCTGGTAGCTTTAATCAAAGCAAACTTCAATACTCCCTGCCCCTGTTTTGCCATTCAAGCTCTGGGAAAGGACTAACTTATTTGTAAAATTTTTTAGGAGTAATACAGTTATTATTAACCCTCTTTCCCCCCCGTTTTATCTTATTCACCTGGTACACTTCTTCATTAGATAGAAAACATGTAGTTTAACACAATACACTAACTAAACAGGAATATTACCATGGAGTGAGCACAGCTGTGCATTAACACTATCAGCACTACCTTCCAGTTATGGTGCAGCTCATTTTGACACTCTTGCATTTGCTTTGGAAAAAACACATAAGCAATACCTTTCATGCACATTCAGGACTAAAATGCTCACATAAGCAATTACAAAACCTAAAAGCATGTCATAAATTTACATGAATCTTTGCACTAGCCCCTCATCACTGCCAACAGACAGCCACATAAAATGTTATTCTAATCAAATAATCAATAATTCAGTTGAGTTCAATGAATCAAAAATCAGTTGAATTAAAGCCTCAGTAAAATTTGATTTTTAAATGTTTACTAAATTGAAGCTTAATGTTTCATGATTCTGCTAACAGGCAGAGCTCCCGAAAGTGTGTGGGGACAGTATTGGGACTGACATTGTTAAACATGTGTCAGTGACACAGTTAGTGGGAGTACCCTCAGCAAGTTGCTGATGACACCAAGCTGTGTGGTGAGGTTGACATGCTGGAGGGTAGGAATGAGATGTAGAGGGAACTGGACAGGCTGGAGAGATGGGTCTGTGAGAACCACATGAAGTTCAACAAGGCCAAGTGCAAGGTCCTGGGGCAGGGTAGTCCCGAGCACAAATACAGGCTGGGCAGAGAATGGATTGCGAGCAGCCTTGGGGGAGAAAGATTTTGGAGGGTTTGTGGACAAGAAGCTCAACATCACCCAACAATATGCACTCACAGAAGACCAACTGTATCCTGGGCTGCATCACAAAAAGCAAGGCCAGCAGGTTGAAGGAGATTCTCCCCCTCTACTCTGCTGTCATGAAACCCTACCTGGAGCACTGCATCCAGATCTGGGGTTCTCAGCACAAGAAAGACGATATCCCATTGAAATGAGTCCAGAGGAGGGCCACTAAGTTGATCAGAGGTCTGGAGACCCTGTCCTATGAGGAAAGGCTGAGAGAGTTGGGGTTGTTCATCTTGGGGAAAGAAAGCTCCAGAGACACTTTAGAGCAGCCTGTCAGTACCTAAAAGGGGCTTGCAAGAAAGCTGGACAGGGACTTTTCACAGGCGCATGTAGTGACAGGAAGGGGGTAATGGCCTTAAACTGAAGGAGAGTAGGTTTAGATTAGATATTAGAATGAAATTCTTTACTGTGAGGGTGCTGAGACACTGGAATGGGTTGCCTAGAAAAGTTGTGGATGCCCCGTCCCTGGAAGTGTTCAAGGCCAGGCTGGATGGAGTCTTCTGAGTGAACTGTGTAGTGGGCAAAAACTAATAAGGAACAAACACACACATTTAGCTCTCCATACATAAGAAGAGGACATAGTAATTCAGTAACTAAAATTAAAAAAATATTCATGATCAACTACAGCTTTATAGGCATTGACTAATCTCTTAAGAGACATTTGATATTATCTTGACAATTTCAGACATAAAATCTAAGAAAAACATGAGCTTGAATTTCATACCAGTCTCTATGCCTTGTGGTATCAACTTTGCACACTAGAACAAACCAATTTTTAAATAGATTATTATGGGATTAAGTATACAGAGCTAGAGCTCATTGATATGTCATTAATCTGGAAAAGGATTATTCTGGTATCATCTCCATTATTGACTTATTTAACATATAAATTGGGTGGAAGAGAAGCAGAGCAGGCATTTTCTGCCATGTATTAAATGAATTTTCCAAGGAATATGAAGCAACAGACTTCCAGGCTATCACAAACAGAAAACTGATTCGGCAGAAGTGGCAACAAGTTTTGATGAACAATGCACAACCATGTGAGTGACAAAAGCATCTTCCAACTGATGGTATCAAACCTGCTATTAGACCTAACAGCAGGAACATAGCATAGTCATAGAATAACCTGGGTTGGAAAGGATTTAGAGATCTTCTAGTCCAACTTGCTCAAAATGAGTAGAGACATCTTTGACAAGGTCAGGTTATTCTTAGCCCCATCCCATCTGATCATGAATGCTTCCAGGGATGGGGTGCCTACCACCTCTCTGGGCAACCTGTTCCAGTGTTTCACCACCCTCATCACAAAAAATGCCTTTCTTATATCTAGTTTGAATCTACCCTCTTTTAGTTTAAAAATATTACTCCTTGCCATATCACTAAAGGCCCTACTTTCCTGTCCCCATCTTTCTTGTAAGGCTCCTTTAAGTACTGAGAGGCCACAATAAAATCTCCCTGGAGCCTTATCTTCTCCAGGCTAACCTCAACTCTCTGACTGTCCTCACAGGAGAGGTAATCCTGCCTCTGATCATTTTTGTGGCCCTTCTCTGGACTTGCTCAAGCAGGTCCCCTGTGCTGGGGACCCCAGACCTGGATGTGTTACAAGTTATATTTCTTTAAAAACAATTCTATGCAGCATTGGAGAAAGATGTTGGAAAATTCTTTTAACTTTAGCACAATAGTGTGCTTTGTGTTATTTGTATGAGAAAAAATTAAAACTCTAGATGCCCCTGTGTATTATGACTCCAGATGGTGGAAGTTAGCCACCAGAGGGAGCCCATATAGTCTGGTACAAGGACATCACTGAACAGATATTTCAGATAAGCAATAAACTTTACTGTGAATGGTTTGTAGTCTACATATTAAAACAGCCCTTTTCAGTTCTTCATTTCAGACTCATGCTTATTTTTACATTTATAAATAAAACCAAGTGAACTCTGCTATGAAGAACTATAACCATATCTAGAATATGCCGAGATACACTAAAATACTCTATACGTTACCTCTTTAGTTTATTTTGTTTGAAAATACTCACCATCTAACTTACCATAGTAGCCTACAAATAATATGGATGACAGAAGAGCTGGGGAATTTTAAAGTGTTGCCTTCAAACAGATTTAGGATTGGACTTATAAGCAACAGTGACATCTGTAAGACATTTTTGCTGCATTTGTTTTGTATGCCAAGTCAGTATAACTTTTTACACTGAATATTTAGATTTATCTGAGGAGTCATCTCCTTCTCTAGCCTATTTAAAAAATACATCTCACAGACTTCCAACATTTGCCCCATGACTTAAAATATCTTTCTATCGTGAAAAGTTCTCAAATAGAAAAAAGTGAGGTTTTAATCAAGAAAAAGCAGTCCTTAACACAGTGGATGTTTTCATTTGATCCTTAGAAGGCTGATACCTCACTCTGCCTTCCACGTCATTGTAACTGTCAAAGTTTTATGATTCTAAGTTAATAGAACAAATATAACAGAAGTAGAAACTATAATTAACATCATTACTGGTCTGTGTTTCTAGTCTTTGACACTTCTTATGAATTTGTCTTCTTTTGCTGCTGAATTTAACTGTGCTTCCCCTCTGCACCATGACTGCTTTACAAAACTGATATCAATACAATAATTTAATGTTGTAACAGAAAATTCAGTGTGCATATATTTACACACTAAACATGTTATCCTTCCTTAGAATACTTTGCTTATTCCTTAGAATACATTTGATGAAGCTTTTACAGAGAACACAAATAGGATTTGAAGAACACTGTAAAGCAGCAAATAAGTACAAAATGTGTATAACTTCTCCATAAAATTAAAAAGTGAAGTGTTGCAACTACTATGTTGTCTAGCAAAAGCCACAAAAATATCGTGGATGACTTGAAGTGCACCACGCTCCAGAATATATTAGCAAGGGTCTTTGTAACCCTGGCAGTCAGAATCCTGAATACTAGATGGAGATCCCTGGCCATGACATGTCAGCAAAAGCTAATCAAAGAGGTCTGAACACTGAATTTTCATGTGTCTTTGTCCTGATTTCAGAACAACTGAACTTGAAACCCTGACGTTCATATGTTTTCTTTCTTAATCTTTACTGAAAAATTGCAAAATACACAGGAAGCTTTCAGAAATCATTCCACATACAATCTTACCGCAGCCTACTATAACTACTAGTGGAACACAGGAGGAATATGAAACCATATTACGTTAAAAACAACTCTCAGACACATTGCAAGATACCTAGTAATCATATTTAACAATTTAATATAGTTTTCCATGATCTACTCTAGTATGTATATTCTTTCTCTGAAAAAAAAATCTTTCTGCACCTACACTAGAAGACAAAGATGTTAGTAAGTAGACTCCCAGTGCTGAAGAAAACAGCTAAAAAGGTACTAATTCCTGTATTCACATACCTAGTGACTGTTTCATGGCAAATATTAAAGTAGATAGATATGCAGTACTGTGAGCCTGCTTTATGATGCCAGTCCAGGGAAGTCTTATACACCATAACCAACCAGCATTACCTTCAGAAAGTAGTATTCAATTTGCTGCTTAGTAAAGAAACAATATGCATTATTGTATATTAAAATACATATTTTATAAAAAATATACTGTATATCTATTAAAACATTAATTTTGTAAGCTAACCAAACTGATACAACTGTTTCAACAGATCAGTAAGCAGCTGTATAGACATCTCCTTGAATATATTAATAAACTTCTAATAAATAAAGACTTGAAATACAATTTATGCAGAAACACTTAGGAGACAACATACAGTTTGTACAAGGAACTACAGTTGCTTGACAAATTTCACTGATGTACCAAGAAACAGTATAGTTTCATAGTATAAATCTACAAATTACCAAGTTTTATGAACACAAATACCACGTGCACATAATAAATTCTGTTATCAATTTCTATGAATCATTTAATATCAAAGGTAATGAATACTAAGAACTTGAAATACATTAAAAATATTGCACATTAAAAAACATGGGTTTGACCTTTTACGGGGACTGGAAATTTCCAGTTTTAAAGCTAACTTTTCCTATTCTGTTAGTTTTAATCTCTTACCAGGTCTTTCCTTGCCAGTTCCTTTTGACTCAGCAAATTTCTGTATTAAACTCTCAACTGTAGTATTTGTCATGTTATTAATAAACTCTTCATGCACCTTCAAAAGAAAAAAAAAAAGAATGCAATTAATTTTAAAAATTAGTTTTCTCTGTAGTTAAGGTTCAAAATACTTCCCTCTAAAATATATTACAGGACTTAGAGAAATCAACAGATATTTTAACAAGGAAATCCCTACTTTGCTTCAGTATTAGCAAGTGTGGATACAATACAGATAAAAAATGGAATGTCAGGTCTAGTTTTTACTTCTATTTCTTCCATTTAAAAAACTTGTCTATATATACTTTTCTGAATTTGTCAGCAACGTGTGCCACTAAAACGTCAGGAAGACAAGCAGTTTCTTAAGCCAGCACCAGTTAAGGGTGTGAACTGTTACTACTGTATTATCACAGCTCCCACCTGCTTGAGTAAAAGCATTACTGTTGTAATGTTTTCGGTCTGACAAAGAAACAACAACATGTTGTTGATAGGTTTTTCCAACAAAGCAGTATGGGTATATGGTTTATGCTTTAGAAATACATAGCATGACCCTTGTGACGACTGTTCACTAGCAGAAAACCTCAATACTGAAGAAAATAGTGACTCTAAGTGTATGCAAACAAAAAGACACTTCAAAAAATCTAAAAAAATAGAACTGCTTATAACGATTATTAACCAAACCAACTTATCTCCAAACAAAAGATACTATATAAACTTTTGTTACTAAAGATCTTTTGCTCATAAAATCCAAGTGTATAAAAAAATTTGGAAACTTTTCCAAGTGATATAATTTCTAGTTTTTATCAAAGAAGTAGTATCCTGATTATGTGTGAAATGAGTGCTAATTCAATATCTAGGGAGCATCAATTAGAAATACACTAAAATTTCTTCAAATTGTCATAATATCTTGTTTTCCATTAAGACAATATTCAGACTTATCCTGTAACTTTTGTGACACTGAACTTACAAATTCAACAGGAAGCCATGGAAATTCGAGCTTCTGTTGAATTTCCATAATTTGAAAAATGTAATTGCCACAAACACAGTAAGAAATATTCCATTTAATACTTAAGAAAAATATATAGCATAATCCAAACAAACAAAAAAAAGATAGTATAAAAGTTACCTCTCCTATTTGCATATGAATTTCTTTTATAGTATTTGACAATGATTCTATAATCTCTTTCATACGAAGAAGGTGTGTTTCTTCAATGTCTTGAAATTTCTGCAAACCGATACGAGCAATTAGTCATAATAAAAAATTTTTTAAAGACTAAACTTTTTATTTTAATAATTTAATACACTATACGGAAAAAAATCCAAACAAATAACTTTTTTTCCTTTCCAGATCTTTACCATGGCAATTACAACATTTAAGAATATTGTAAATACTTAAGAATAATTATTTAAGAATACTTAAGTAATGCGCAGAATTCAGAGTTATGAAATAATGCACTTTAAAAAGCAATATATCCTTTTAGAACCATTACTGAAGTTTTTTTACTTACTCTTTGAACTTTCATCTAATCTTTATTTTCAAATAAATCTGACCCATTTCCACCAGAAGAAAGTAGGTTTAGGGGGTGTTCAAATAACCCCTCTTTTCTCCATTACTGACGAGTCTTTTTTTTTTTTTCACCTAAATTGAGAAATCTTATTTCTGGATATGTTCTGCACTTCCTTTTTAGTACCTTCTCCTCCTCCTCAGAAATATACACTTGCTCTCTCATTTTCTAGTTAAGTATACATCCTTTCCTTCTTTAAATATGATTAGTTTGTTTGAATTTTAAACTCACCACATATAATTTTTGCAGTTTGTTCCATTTTACTCAGGCTTCCAGCTGACAGCCATTTTAAAATCACTTCCAAGTTCTCAATGGCTCTTTCCTGGCCAAAAATCAGAACTAAAAATGTCCCCATCCTCCCCAACAGTCAACCATAATTGTCTGGAAATCTTTGTTTACTTCTGCTCTTTCCTAGTTCTCTGCCTATTTCTGTAACTTCCCTTTCAAGTGTATCCAAACTTTGGAGCACCACTTAATCCTCTCTCCAATTTGCACAGGGTTCCCTAAAGATCATCTCTCCCTATTTCACACCTCCTGCTACTCTGATTCACAAATACAACTCTGTCCAGTCAAGACAAATATCTGTAACTTCTAAACCCTCAATCTTCTGCCATACTTACATACCTCTCTAGCCACCAATCAGGCAGACTAAAATTATTTTATTTTTCTCCAGCAGCCTTCCTCTTAAATACAGAGGATATGGTTATCCTCTGTAGCCTATGCTATGATGTTACTCTTGTACGGATTGCCTTATTATGTAAACTTCTGCTTTCAAAACTATCTCTGGTCTGTCTCTAACATCTGCTCTCAGTCACAGGGGTGTCAAGACATGTATACAATGTGTCCTTTAAACTCTTCTCCTTAAAGCACATGAAAACAGTTGTCCATACAGACACATATTTTTTGTCTGTTAGTGGAAAGAATCCCCCAATTGTTTTCTTCTTTTTTATTGTTTTATAATTCAGATTTAAAGTCTCTGAAGTGTAGCCATCTTGAATAAAGCTAGGTATTATAATCCAATCCCATAATTATTATCACAAGTATAATCACTAGCCAAATTGTTTACTTTCTCTTTAGAAAGATCAATTTTAAAAAGATGTACTGAAATGGATCTGTAATGTTAATAACCCAACAAATACATGATGCTGCTTAAGTTTTAAGCTACAATACAAATGAAAAATCATTGTCAGAATCTTTAGCTGTCCAACTCAGTATACACCATTTACTCAAGCACTACATCTTTTTTTATAAACATGTATGTTTTTCTGTAAATTTACAGTGTTTTTTAAAATGCATTCTTACTTATTCTTGACGTTTATTCATATGCAGACTGCTCAACAGCAAAATTATCAAAATTCAACTCTACCTAGTTCTAAAAAAGGTAGAGGACTTTCAAAGAATACAGCATTTTTAACTATTTGATCCTTTCCAGTAATTGCCTGAGCTACATGATTTAAAAAAAACTCTCTAGCAAACTGGAAGATCTGGCAAATAAGACAACATGTTTTCTTAGCAACTGCATAGCAAATGCATAACATTACTACAGATGTACTCAAAAACGTCCCCCCACACAAGGAATTTCTGTCAAATCCAATTTCTAAACAAAAATGAACTGTGTTTTCCTACTTCTTCAATCACAATAAACCCTTCCATATTTATCACAGCAATAATTGCAACTTGTAAATCAAGATTGAAATCAAAACTTGCAGAATGGCAATTTTCATTTCCAGTATGGACAGATGTGGAAAGTTTACAAATGTCCAATATAACATTAAGTGAAAATTTAATCCTTAAATAAAAGGATTGCTACAATTAAGGAACTAAGCACATTTAGACAAGTTTAGTTTAAAATGTAGCAAGGAGTGGCACATGCAATGATACAGAGAACTTGATATCCTCTGGAATACAGACTGAGTCTTAAATAAAATTCCCAGAAACTTTAACAGATGTAAGGGCTTTCCAAAATCTCAGGTAAACCGTGGGAAGACACTTTAACAAGCTGTAACTAAACTGTTTTGATGGAAAAGCAATGATGTATCTCAATATTAAAACTCCTATGAATGATTTCTGGGTGCCCAGCAATTCAGAGGATTTCCCACAAAATCACAATGCATCTACAATACTTGCAGAAGTTCCTTTTGCTTTCTTCCTAAAATTTCTTCAGAAAGTCTTTCTTGAGCTAGTGCTCAACTGTGTCATTCAAGGACAGTGCTATCACAACACACATAGTCAGTGTCTGCCTTTCAAACAAATCAATTTCCAAAATAACCACTTTTTCAAAAACTTTGATTTCAAATGGCTTCAGAGATGAAATAGAATACATTAATCTATTTCAAAGGTAACTCAATTAATATAACACCTACCTGTGCTGTTTCTGTCATTTTCACTTCAAAATCAGTTTTAAATGCAGCGTACTTCTCCACATATAGTTTATAGGTATCTGTAGCTTTTTTTGTTTTAACTGCTGCCTGTAGATCAGTACAAAAAGTGTCAAATGTCACACATATGGTCTGAGCCAAGGTTTTTAAAGTCATTATTAAAAGACAGCCTAGGATGATCCCTAAAAATTATCCAGGGACATAACAAAACAGGGAAGTGTCATAAAAAAATTTTATCACCAAATAACTCGTATTCAAGCTATCAGAGATTTCTATTTAGAACTATACATAAACCACATAAAAAAAAAAAATCTAAAAAAGCTGTTATGTCATTTAAATCCCTTCCACTTATCAGCAGTGAAAAATTTATAATACACTTATTTGGAAATCAAATTCTTATTGCTGACAATAACTCATTAGCTCTGTCAAATATGTACAACAAATTTA